ACACCAAATGGGATCCAGATCGACACAAATGTGCCTTTCCCCAGGCCAAGTCGATGATGGGACATCGAGATGCTTCCCATCACAGCCAAACTACTTCTTGCAGGGCACCCATTGCCCTCAGGCTCTGGCAAACCCTGGAGGGGTTTGCCAGAGCCTGCAGGCAGCAGGCATCCCATTCATGGTGGCCCTGGGAGGAAAAGACGATTTTGCCTGTTTTTTTGCAGGAACAGAGGAATGGAGGAGCTCACGGGGCCGCAGCGGCAACAAGGGCATTTGTGCATCCAACTTGGCACATCCAGTTTTTAAGCATATTTATAGGTCACTAAGAAGAGGAAAGGCGGTCTGGATTTAAAGCAAAATGTTGTGCTGCAAAAGAAGGGGTTTGCTCAAGTCCCTGCCTGGGATAGGGATGCAAACACAGCTGCTGCTGGGGTCAAGGCTTCCCAAAATGTGGCCTCTCCATCCCTGCAGGCAGCAACTGGCAGCAGCTCCCCCTCCGCCACTGCCTCTCCATATATCCTTGGTTGAGTCACTTAAGACCACGTTTGAGCAGCCCCAATTGCTCCTGGAGGCACAAAGCAGCTCCAGGAGGAACTGGGATGGGGATGGGGACCACAACACCGGGATGTCCCCCACCCTGTGCCTGGCTGGCTGCCGTGCAGAGCCCCAGGCGCCGAAAATCGGAGCCCAGGGGCGCAGGACCTGCTTGCTCAGGAGGTGGTAGTTCTCAGAAACCAGCTTCAGGTGAAAGGAAGGGGAAAAAGAAAGAAAAAAAGGAAGTCAAAGCACTCTCACGCTGAGCAGAGATAAAAATACTGCTCCTCCTGCGGCCACAGCTGAAGACATACAAGCCGTGACACAGGCACCACAGGTTTTCAGCGGAAGGAGTCTTCCCGGCTCGTCTCAGCATGCCATCAATTTACGGGATGCGCTGGATTTCATTAAAATGCTATAAAGAAACCAGCACAAATGCAAATCCCATTTCCCTTCCCCTTCCTGTAAAAACATCTGGTCAACAGAACCGGCTCGGGACACTTCCGCTGCAAATCACAGTTTTCATGGGGTTCAGGAGTTGGCTATACAAAAGGCACTCAGGGCTGGGGCTCAGCTGATGAGCAGGGCAGCCCCAAAACCCTGCAGGGCTGCCCTAAAACATGCAAACCTGTTTTGCCAGCTTTGGCTTAAATTTATGAAGGTGGAGAGGCCTCAGAGCTACCTGATCCTACAAGTTACATGAGAATATATGGTGTGGTAGAAGAGAAAGCCCTTAGTGCTTCCATGGAAAGCAGGGAGGACTGGTGAGCATCACCCTCATACTAGACATCAGAGAATCCATCTAGGCTGCAGGCTTAGGACCATACCCATACAAGCATTACAGATACCCCGATATCCCGCTGCTCCAGGCGCTCTGCATGTCATGATGGCCCCCCTGGTGCTGGGTCCGGCCCCAGCAGCCTCGTGCCACAGAGCATCCTCACCTCACCCTGGCGCCGGTCAGTGGCACGGCACCCTCACATCCCTCCTCTCCCCAGCACACTGTCACCCTCCGGCGTGTCCCCAGGGTGGGGGTCCAGGTACCCCCTGCCCTGCGCTGGGTGCCCTGAGCCCACCAGTGCCCTGCGGCCCGGCTGTGACTCGCTCCCAGGAGAGCAACGGATCCAATCGTCTCCAAATCCCTCCTTTGCAAAACATCCTTTTTCCAGTGCTCGAGGGAGGAAGGAATGATGCCAAAACCAACCCAGCAGCGGCTGCAAGCATGGGAAGCCCCATCTCATCCGGCTGAAGCTCCCGTGAGACCAGCACATCCCTGGGGGATGGGATGCCCACGCCGGGCACTGCCGCAGGGACCGCCGGCAGCTCCGGCATGACTCGCCGGCACTCACCCCTTCACCCAGCCCAGCACAGCACAGGCTGCAGCCACGCAAGCAGTAAATGGGATTAGGGCTCTCCAAAGCGCCCTGCTCCCTCTGATGCCGGGCATGTTACAGGATTACGCTGAGAGGCCCCGTTGGAGCACGCCGGGGGAAAGTAGGGGGGAAAATAAGATAAAAGCTGCCAAAAGCGGAGCGAGGGAGCAATGGCCGAGCTGCAGTGGGGCATTCATGGGGCCACCTCCTTTCCCCACACACCCTGCCTTTCCAAGGTCATTGCAAGGTGCTGAATATTTGGGGGCTTGGATTGATGCTGTAAAGCTGGGCTGAATTTCCATTTACATTGTATTATTTAACGGGTAGAAAGGGAGAAGAGGAGGACACTTCTGGGGAGACCTCAAGGGTGACCAAACTTAACGGTCCAGAGACCAGCCGGAGATGAAAGCACCCAAGGACTGTTTTTACAGTTGCTTATTTAAAACCATTAATCTTCCATGACGATCAACAGCATCTTCAAATAAGGAACAGATCCACGACATGGATGAAAGGCAGCGGCAAAGCTCTGTGAGCATCCCAGGGACAGAGGACAGAGGGGAGGGGGCTCCCCGCAGCCTTCCCCAGGGAGTTATTGTTTATTATTTAGTTATTTTAAAAGGAAAAAAAAAACAAAACAAAACACCAACAAGCTGTTCTGTTCCCATTGCTCCACAGTTTGCCCCCTTGCTGGGTTTGGGGAGTGGGACCAGCACCATAGCAGGCTTTCCACTGCGCCCAGAATCCAGCTGCAGTTACTGGGAAAGGGGCTGGACTGATTCTGCTGTAAAGGAGACAGGATCTGGCCTTGGCCCAGTTAATGAGAAAGGAAGGACCCGCCCGGAGAATATTTGCACAGGAAACAATTTACTCCGGAGACTTGCAAAATCCAGCAAGGAACATCCCTCCTTCCGCAGACCTGGCTGAGAAACCCCGCTGCTCGGGGCCCCGGGGGACCGCAGGGGCCCCGGCCTCGCAGTGTCAGGGACTCACCGGCAAATCTCCGTGGGCCGGAGATTTGTTGCAAACTGCAAGGAATAATGCTGAAGAGCACTGGGTGAACTTGCTAAATGTCTCATTTTAAATGCCTCCCACCCATGGGTCAAAGGCGGTCAGGGGCTGCGGGGAGAAGAATGTGCTGTGCACTGGGCTTGCTTCCCAAGGGGAAGGAGGGGAAGAAAAAAAAGAGAAAAAAGTTTAAAATAAAAAGGGAAAAAGCAGTGATTGCAAGCACCAGGTCCTGGGGGCAGGCGGGATGCACTGGGGGCCTGACTGGGTGCTGGTCCTGTGGGACAAGGGTGCTGTTCTGGTGTGCAAGTGGTGCGATGGCTCTGCTCCCTGCGCGGTGCCCAAAAGCCTTTGGGGAAAAGGCTCAGCAGAAAGGACGGCTCGACTCTCCCCCACGGCTGTGCCGGGTCACTGGAGATTTTACCTGGTGTAAAGGCAGCCAAATCTGCTGCAGCCATAATGTGCACAGGGGAAAAAAAAAATGCGCAGGGGCTTGGTGCCTGGGTGGCGGGGGCACGGGTGGGTGCCCACGGCGGGGCAGGCTTGGCCCCGACTGCCAAAGCCCCCGCGTGCCAGGGAGCACAGCCACCCCCGGGAGGGCATCCCCTCGCTTTGCTTTTATTTTTGGCTCTTGCAAAGCCCCGAGGGCAGGTCTGGGCAACAGCCAGCGAGGATGAGGAGGAGCAAAGCCGGTAGCAAATTTGGCAGCTGTGCCTGAAATAGCACCAGCCCAATGCTTCCTCCCCACTGGCCGGGCTGTTCCCTGCGGCAGGGTCCGATGTGCCCAGTGCTGTCCGGGTGAGCTGGGGTCCAGACCACACGGGCACCCAGCGGTGCTGCCCAGCTGCTGGGAGCACCCTCCAGGAGCCCCAAAGTGATGCTGTTTGGAGCCAGACCTCCCCGTGCCCTGGGATGGGGACATATGGTCCCACAGGGACAAATAACCGCAACCCCTGACTCGACGGAGGAAAACTGGCTTTTACTTTCAGATTTCACAATTTTGGTGTTGTTTCTTTTTTTTTTTTATATATATATTTAATATTGGAGTCGCTTGACAGAAACAGGAGGAATTCAGCCAGCTGCTCCCTGGCCCAACACGGTCCAAAGGCAGGGACAAGGCTCCAGCTCTACCCAAGCATTCCTCCTTCGGGAGCACAAGTTAGCCATCAAAGTTAAACAAGCACAAAAAAAAAAAGGAAAAAGAAAGAGAAAACCCAGCCCATCAGGCCTGCGTAAGACCTGCCATGTGGAGGAACTGTCTTTTTAAAGATTAAACACCATGGCTCCCCCCGCATCGCTCCCCGTTCACTCACATCCTGCATCATCTCCGCTCCAGCCGGCATCTAAGCACCATGGGAGCTCCCTGGGGTAGCAGAGATCTGAATTTCTAGCCACAAAAGTACTTACAAAAAATAAATTTAAAGTCCCTTACAGGTCCTATGGGGCGCAGAGGAAGGCACAGAGCCTAATTTCTATTTTCCCCTTCCTTTCCCAACTTGCCCAGGCAAGCAGATGCCTTGACTGCTGAAGCCACAGCACAGCGGAGACAGGGTGAATTTGGGGTTCACCAGATGTCGTGTCCCTCCCGCCTTGCTGGGATGGGTCGATGGGGCTGGGGATGAGGGGGATGGAGGCCACCAGCCTCTATCCTCAGCTTGTGAGGCAGGCACTCTGCTTCTAGTTGGGAAACCCAGCTTTGGGGTCCCAGCGGGGAGAAATGCAATTGCATCTCGACCGATAGCAATAATTAGCATGCACGTCGCCCTCGGCACGTGGTCACAGCATCTTTCACTCCCCAAACACGAGCCCACAGCGGTAGCTCAGCTCTCCTTCTCAGAGGTCTTAAATAAACAGGGTGCAGCCTTGTGTGGCTGCAGCGGAGTGAGAGCAGTGGCAGAGCAAACCCATCTGGGTCCTGGGCTTGTGCCCAGACACCACTCATAGTGAGAAACCCTTGCGATCAGGGATGCACCGTGGCCCCGCTCCTCCCCGCAGGATGTGCTGGCACCCTGGCATCGTCCCCAACCCACTGCCGAGGGACCCACAGCATCACCTGGCCAAAACGGGCAAGAGCCGGCAGGTCCTTACCTTGGGTGGGTCGAAGAGCTCCAGCACGTACTCCTCGCCGTCAGGCGTCCCTGCTCGCCGCAGCACCAGGCGGCAGCGCTGCCAGCGCGTCCCGCTGTCCAGGGAGGTCTCATCCAGCAGCCCGTACTTGAGGAGCCCCTCCTTGCGCACCTCGAGGGGCTGCTCCCGCGACAGCCCCCATGGCAGGATGCGCTTGCCCAGTCCCGGCTTGAGAGCTGCCTCCGCTGCCGCCTCCCCATCCCCATCCCCGGGGAGGGCATCCGAGGAACGGCGTCGGAAGAGGCTGCGCCAGCTCCTGCGCAGCTGGCTGAGCGAGAAGGGCCGCCGCGCCGGCCCCGCCAGCTCCTCCGAGCTCCAGGACTTGCGCAGCCCCGTTGGGGTGGCCTCGGGGGCTCGACCGGGCTGCTCGGGGCGGGTGCCCAGCTCCACCTCGGCTTTGGTGGCCACCGTGCCCAGGGAGGCGTCCGTGTGCCGACGGTGCGTCTCCCGGTAATCCCGCGCCGGGCCAGCGGGCAGGATGCGGAGCTGGTTCATGGCGAAGCCCTCCTTCACCTCATGGCAGAAGTACTGCTGGAAGAGGTCGGTGAACTGCACCGAGAAGTTCTCGGCGGCCAGGAGGTCATGGTGCGGGTGCTCGGTGGCGAACCGCAGGTAGTGCCGCGCCAGCTCCTTGGCGGTGCTGATGGCGTGCAGCTCGCAGAACTCATGCCAGCCCCGGGGATACGCTGGCGTGCCGGCTGGCAGAGCGTGCCCATTCATTGCCGTGGCTCCAGCGAGGCGGCCGCGCTGCAAGACAGAGCACACCGGTGGCGTCAGGGGGGCCCCAACACCCCGACACCTCCGCCCCCGACCCCTGCAGCCCCTGGCTGGTGCGGCTGCATGCCGCTCTGGATGCGTACCCACAGGGCCAGTGGCCCAGGGCACGCTGTGGTTAGCTTGGTCCCTGGTCAAAGCCGCTTCATTCACCAGGGCACAGCACGGGGACAGGCGCTGCAGCTGGCGCAGAGGTGGCCGGCTCCCCGGTGAGCGGCACAGCCGCATGAGCAACCGCTACGGCTCCCCCCCTCTCACAGGCGTGAGGTGGGGTGCAGGCAGGTCCCCGAGCAGGGCGTCTGCGCAGCTTCCTGCCAGCACAGCTGCCTGCAGCTGCCCGCCGCCCTGTGGGGACGCCCGGCCAGGCCGCATCCGCTCTCCTCCTGCCAAGGCTTCGCAGCGCCGATGGGTTTCCCTCCAGGGACCTATTTCAACAGAGCTGATAAAACTGGAGTGGGGGCGGGAGGGGAGGAAACAACTTGAAAAGCTGCAGAAATCCAGGGACGGAGCTGCCTCGCCTGCCAGATCCACCCGGCCCCACTGGCCTGGGGAGACACGGCTGCGCTGCCAGCACAGCCAGGGATGAGCGCATGTCCCTGGGGGAAAGCTCCACTGCCTGTGGGACCGAGGGGCTGTTGGGCTCTGGCAAACCACGCCATATCTCTGCCCCGAGCAGATTTTGCCGCGAGGCCAATCTGACGGGCACCCCTGGCCAGCATGCAGCCGCCCCAGCGTGCCTGGCCGAGCCCAGCAGCAGCGTTCCCCACGGCCAGCCCGGCTGCACCACGCTGCTTACCGCCGAACCTCGTGCTCACCCGCGGCACTTATCAGGGCCATGCACTCCGCTTAGGCAGGAAACATCAGCCAACCCACCCGGATCCTGACGTGCCGGCACAGGCACTGCCACCTCCCCAAAACTTCAGCCGCCCGGCGGCAGCGCCCCAGCTGCTGGAGGGGAGGAAAAGTGATTGCATATGTTGGGGGGAGGAAAAATTAAAAAAAAAAAACAAAACGAGGGGCCGGGAGGAAGCGAGCGGGGCGACGCAGAGCGCGGCGGATCTTGTTTGCAGCCAGGGAGGCGATAACGCCGGGAAGCGGACCTCTATCTCTGCCCACCCACCGCCCTTCCTAGTACGTCCTGCAAAGTTTCTAGGCGAGGGGAGATGTTATCTGCCCCCCGCCAGCCTCGCCGGGGCCCGGCTTCTCAGAAGAGCCACCCGAGGCTCGGGGCCGGCCGGCGTTGCGGTGGTGCTGGGTGTGCGCCTGCCTGCGGCCCGGCCGAACCCCCCGGCGGGGCCCCCGCGTGCGGCCGTCTATCAGCACCGCCAGCCTGCCAATGACTCAGCATCCTCCGGCTGCGCTCCCGCTTCCTCCAGGCGCCTGGGAATTGCCACCGCAGCCACCGGCACTGCCGGTATGCTTGGCAGGATGCTCCCCCAAGATGCAGAGGGAAGTGGGGCACCCGTGTGGATGGCTCCTCAGGCGAGCGGGAGATTCCCAGGACAGGGAATTCGCCTTCCAAGTTTTCGGGCTCATTCTGCGCTGGCTTCACGAGAGGTTTGCGGCATGGGAAAAGCCAGGCTTCGCCTGCGTCACGCGGCGGGAAGCAGCCGAAGGCCGTCTCCGGTAGCAACGTGCTTTTTCCAACCAGCACGATGATGGGAAATACACCCCCAGCACTTCCTCCTGCCGGCACTGGCACAAACCGCGATGCTGTCCTCCCTGCTCTTGCCCGGCGCACTTCTCACGTGGAAATGGCTATCCTGGCTATCCCGGCTGAATCCACGCTTGAGCTACTGCAGCAACATCCCGCTCCTCTGCCTAGCCCCAGGTTTTGGCAGGGACATGGCACAGGGATGCGAGTGCCCGCTGCCGCATGGGATTCTCCCTGCTCCAGCCCATCGCGCTCCACGATGCCGGAATTCAGCAGCCAGTGGCTTTAAGGCAGACTTTACATCCGCATCCCTTATACCCCATACTTTCCTATGAGGGGCTCCTGGCCGTCCTGCAGGTCAGCGCCGAGCCGAAGGACTTGTCGCAACGGCTAATTGCTTTAATTTGCACCGAATGGAGAATTCAGCCCACCCTCGGACACACCATGGGCTGGTTGGGATGGGGGGCTAACATCCCCCCCAGCCACTGGAAGAGCTGTACGCCACACAGCCCACCCCGTCTCAGGGCTGTTTTGGGTGCTGGGGTTGTTTTGGGGTGCTGGGTCAGGAGCTCAAGGAAGAGCAGGACGGGACGGACCGGCCGCCAGCTGGCTTTGATGCGGGCTGGGATGGCGAGCCCCAGCTTGTGCAGGATCCAGCCCTGCAGCCAAGCCACCCCCGGGAGATTTCATTAAACTCTTGCCCAACCTGGCGAGTGTTGCTGCGGCAGCGGGTGCTGGCACCGGCTGGGACAGTAACCTGAGGCCATGGCTTGGATCCGGCAATGGGTTATTCGTGCCTTCATGGTGGCAAAAATCCCAGTAAATGCATTTGTTGTTTAATTGTACTCAGAGGAGCCCGCAGCACCGAGCAGTGCCAGGGCAATGCCAGGAGCCAGCGCCGCAGCTCTGCCACCCGCTCCTGGAGGATGAAAGGTTCGGAGCCAGCTGGCCAGCCCTGCCACGGAGGGGCTGCAGGATCCAGCCCGCCACCTTCCCACCGCAAAACAGCTACGCAGGGGGCTGCGGCTGCACAGGAAGGGCACCCTCCAGCACCCAGCGCTGCAAATCCAGCCTCAAAGGGAAACGTTACAGAGCAGAGACCGTGTCGCCGTGCCCGGCGCCGAGTGAGGCGTGCTCACACATGCACGCGTCCACAGGCGGCCCTGGAGCATGTGCAGCACAGCCAGCGCGCCGCGATCTGAAAATGAAACCAGCCTCGACTCCTTGCCACTACTCTCCACGCCAGGAAAACGCACACCAGCAATGTAAATAGGAAATTGGATTTATGTGCCAGCTCTCCCAGCGACAACTGTTCCCCAACCGGAGGAAAAGTGGCCGGCGGCATTTTCAGCTCCCTTTTATAAGCACAGCGCTATTCAAAACTCACCCCGAGGACTATTTTCAGGAGGGAACGAAGCGAGGGGCTGGGAGACGCCCTCGCCGGCCCCACAGCTCCCGGCATCCCGAGTGGCAGAAATACAAAGTTCCCACAATCCCAAGAGCAGGAACATTGTTCCTTCCCAGGATGTCCTCCATGAAAAGAGCTATTCTGAGCTGGCAGCAGCCTTTCTTGGCACGGCCCCGCAGCCCGCTCGCGAGGCGGCTATAAAAAGCTGGGTTACAATGAACAGCACTTTTCAATGGGAGAGCATCCGGTGCGGGGGGCTCAGAGGGGTGGGCTCGCAAGGGCTGGGTGATGTGGAGCATCCCCTTGGGATGGTGCTGGTGCAGCCTTGCAGCCTCTCTCTGCATCCCGATGCCCCAGGGACTGGGGCAGCGGACGCTGCAGGACCAGCTGGATGTGACCCTGGGTTGAGAGCGTAGAGGGGGACAAGCGGAGAGGTGCAGCCATTTGGGGATGGGCACTGGGATGCAGCTGCTCAGCAAGGCAGAAGGTCTGGTGCAGGGGGAGAGGTGGGAAAGGGTCCAGCTGCAGCCTCCTGATGCGGGATAAAGCGGGGAATGGAGGACAGCATCCCAAATTCGCCCTCCTCCAAGCTGGGACACAACATGACGTGTTCACACCACGTCCCCTGCCTTGGGCACGCTCGCTGCAGAGCGAGCACAGCCATGGAAAGCAGCCCCGACTCCACGCTCAGAGAAAGCCCCATGAAGTTTTATTGCTGCCCTTCAGCCGAGCCTCTTCTCCCTTCCAGCAGCCCGCTTTCACCAGTGGGTAAATATTGCTGATTTACCCTGAGCAGAACAGAAAGCCCCAGCCCATGCACCCAGGGCAGCAGAGCCCTGGGGGGGGGACTCCGTGGGAGGCAGGGAGGATGACAGGGGCCCTGTCACCCCCCCAAAACAGCACCCACGTATTTACAGCATCACTATAAAACAGCTGAGGCCATTTGTGCGTCAGGCCAGCACAACCCAGAGCAGACACTGCCTGGCACCGTCCTGCTCTTCTCTCTGGGAGCAGCCCCCTGTGGTGGTGTGGATTCTCTGGGGTCTTGTAGAGGGTGATGGCACAGAATCGCATCTCTGAGAGCCATCGTTCCCTACGACCTGCCGGCTGTTTCCACGAAAGCTGGAGGACCTCAGGGGGGGCTCCGGACCTTCCTTCCCTCTCCTTTGGCTGAACCAAATCAACAAACTCAAAAGCAACAGAGGAGCAGGTCGGAGAGACCCCACCGCACACTCACATAGGCTGTGTTTTCTTAGGAAAGTGGCTTAAAAGCTGGGAGGTTTGGGGGGGCTGATTTTGCTCTCCTATCCCCACCTTCTCACAGGACATACCCCTTATTTGACCACCCAGTGCTACACAGCTTGCTATATTAAAGGCCAGAGCTGGCCTTAATCAACGGCTCTGCGTGGGCTGAGCAGCACTGCAGACCTCTGGGGATGCGGCCGATGTTACAGCACTTTAAATCCAGGGGAAATCCACCCATTTGGCTTCCCCTGATCACTCCCCTGGGACAGGCAGGATGGAGACAGGCCATCCCGAACCCACCTCGGGCCAAATGCAAGCTCCAGGCTCGCTTGGCCTGCAGGAACTCACTGGGACAAGCCGCTGCGGCCAGCCCAGCTCCCCAAAGACCCTCTGCCTGCTCCTGTCGACCCAAGTGCCCCTCACCGTGGCTTCTGGCACCCTGCAGCCCACTTTACATCATCACGCTCTCCTACACCCACTGCCTGCGGGGAAAAGCCCAGCAGCGGGGTGGCATCTTTCGACAGGGTTTGTTTTGTTGCATGAAATGAATCGCTGCAGTGTAGGCGTGGGAGAAGCCGGGTGCAGGGAGCGCTGCCGGGGGAGCGGCCAGCTGCGGGTCCCCGGCTTCTCCCATGGGGA